ATCTGTCTGTAGTCTTCTGACAGCACAAAACACATTCATCATAATCCTACCGTGACTGCATAAACACAAGAAAGTTTTATTTCTTTGAGGAATAGGAGCCTTCCATAACTTCCTCCAAAAGCCTCTTCGAGTCGTATTACTGGTAGGGGATAGGCCTATATAAGTAGACTTAATAGTAAGCTTACCACTATTATTCCATCTCCACCTTATTCCATCCTCATCAGGTGAAATTCTCATGCGAAGAATCTCTTTAACCACAATCAATGGCAAAAAGTCTTTAAATTTATGTCTATTCCAGCTGCCCGAGGGATTAATGTATTTATCTATCGTCTCCTCACAAACTTCATCAGACAGTAGGTTAGTAACATAATAGTCCCTCGTGGTGGGGTAGCCAATGATCTTTCCAAAATCTAATATGAGTGCCATGACCTAACTGCCATGCTATACCGTTATTGGTGTCAAGCCATGCATCACAAATTCCTATCCAAGCACTAGAAGCACGTTGTCTAGTTTCAATAGTAGGTATCACATTGTCTCCACATTTATACTTCTTTCTCATAACTCTCACCCATAATGCATCCCTTCTTTTAATCAAACCCCAACCAAGTTTCATCATGAATGCCTTATTTTGTTTATGAGCCTCCCTCAGACCCAAACCGCCATCTTCTTTCCTCTGACACATATCTCCCCAAGCTACTAAGTACATCTTCCTTTAGTTATTCATACTCCCCCATATGAATTGCCTACACTTTTTATCAATCTCATGACACGTATTAACAGGTAGAGGCATAGATTGCATTATGTATGTTATGATAGCAGCAACCACAAAAGAAACTAGGGTATGTCTGGTTGCCAAAGATAAAGAATTTACCTTCCAAGAAGAAAGATGAGTCTCCATCTTGTTCAACACATGTTGATACGTAGCTTTTGTGACTTTCTTATATAGTAATGGTACACTTAAATACTTCCCCAGATCTGTCGTAGATGTAAATCTCAAGAAATTACTTATCTTTGTAGCTTTACTTCTTCCTACATTCTCAAAGAAAAAGATCCTAGATTTATTGCTATTGACTTTTTCCTCTGATATACTGCAAAAATCATCAAGGCAAGCTTTAATCATCCCAGCTTGATCCAAGCTAGCTTCAATAAAAAGTAAAAGATCATCCGCAAAGAATAGATGAGATATAACAATCCCATTCCTTTTAAAGCGAAAGGTAACTAGTTGCCATTCTCCACTTCACCTTGAATTAAGTGTCCTAACTTCTCCATAATCAACACAAACAAATAAGGAGATATTGGATCTCCTTACCTTAGCCCTCTAGATGGGGTAAATTTCTCCCCCTTTTTACCATTCCATAACACTTGCATAGAGGCAGTAGAGAGACACTTAGCCACCAAATTCACAAATGCTTTAGGTATATTCAGTTCCTCAAGACATTGGATGATAAATCCCCATCTATTTCAATCATAAGCTTTCTCAAGTCAATCTTCAAGGCCATAAAGCCTTTCTTTCCTGAACATTTTCGAAAAGAATGAATAATTTCCTAAGCAACAATAATATTGTTTGTACTTTGCCTTCCAGGGACAAACTACACTGATTAAGGGCCACAACCTTAGGCATGACAGTTTTTAACCGTGAGGTAAGGACTTTAGTCACTTTATAAATGACATTGCCAAGATTAATAGGACGAAAGTCTTTCATTGATTCCAGATTCTCAATCTTCGAAATTAAAACAATATTTGTATCATTAATTCTTCCTACCAAATCAAAATTTTCAAAAATCTACTACACCAGCTGAAAAATTGTATTCCCCACTAATTCCCATTGATTTTGGAAAAATAAAGGATTTAAGCCATTAGGGCCCGGGGCTTTGAGAGACCGATAGAAAACAAATTCTGTTTGACCTCTTGTAGAGTAATATCCTTTCCCAACAAATGTAATTCCGCTTGCAAGATTGTAGGAAATCTCCTTCTAAAAACAATGTGATTAGGAGAAGGCGATGTCTTTAAATAGAGGCTTGTAAAATAGTCTGTACCCATTCCTTTCAAACATTCTTTATCATAAATCCATTTATTATCTTCCCCTTTAAGAGCTTCAATCTGCTTCCTTTTCTTGCAATTATTAGCCATAATATGAAAATACTTGGTATTCTTGTCCCCTTGGGAATACCAGTTACACCTAAACCTTTGCAGCCACATAATTGCTTCTTGCACTGACACTTCTTCCAACTCAACCTATAGAGTACTCCCTCTATTTTTAAATATAAGAGAAATTAATCAACACACGTAGCTTAAAAAAAATAAGTTAAGTATAATAATTATATCTAAAAATAAAAAGAAATTGGACTAATTTTTTTATAATTAATAAAATAATTTTTTTAGTAAAAATAAATATTAAATTTATGAAAAAAATTTAAACAAAACGTAACAAATACTTTTTAAAATTTATAATTTCCATTATAAATAAAATAATTATTTTTTTTCATATTAAAAAATGTACTAGTACAACCTAGAAACAATGTGCCATCAAATTTGAAATAAAAAAAATTATAATCAAACCTTATATAAAAAAATTAATTATTATAAAATTTATTAATAATTAAATTAAATTGTATTGCCAATAAATTTTATAATAATTAAATTTTTTAATGTGAGGTTTGAAATTTTTTTAATAAAAAACATACCTCTGAAGTGGGCGCCACTTCCCTTCCATGGTCTTCGCGTCGGCAACACGTAAGCAAGGACGAATGGACGCCCATTGGAAGATTACGCCACGCCACTCTCAGACGCAGCCTCCTTCTCCAACTCCTTCTTACAGAGACCAGACCACTTCCTTTTCTCTGATGACCCGTCTTGCCCTCCGGCACACGTTAGCCTCCGCCTCTTCCTCTACCTCAACCTCTCGATGTGCAAGTCCAAAAGCAGCACAAACGTGACCGAACCCATGCCCCGTCGATCTCGCACCTTCCAGTCATCTTCTTCTTCGCCTCATACCACCGCCAATAATCTCCGTCCCAATTCTTCTTCCTTTCAGCTCACCACAGAATCCACTAGCTACTACTACAAGGACTGGTCTAAAGGCTCCTCCGTTTCCACCGCTTCCTCTCTCTCTAGCCTTAAGGACTCTTTGCCTGATAACCCCCATATCTACGAGTTCTCCGAGATTTCCTCCGCCACTGGGAATTTCCTTTCCCAAAAACACTCCTCTTCATCTTCTTCTTCGTCCTGGAGATGCTCCATTCGCAACAAGGATGTTCTGGTTTTCCAGCGCAAGTTTCGCCGTCCCATGGACATGCCGGAGCTCCGAGATCGGCTTGCTGTCATTTGCCGGAGCCACCATAGTAGCTTGATCAAACTTCTCGGGGCATCGGTCTCCGGTAATTCCATTTATCTTGTGTATGACTATGTTCAGGGTGTGAATCTCGCTGATTGTCTTCGAAATCGTTTGAATCCCAGCTTCACTGATCTCTCTACGTGGCTTTCTCGGATGCAAATCGCCACTGATCTTGCCCACGGGCTAGATTACATCCACCATTTCTCCGGACTCAATTCGAATTTCGTGCACAACCATATCAAAAGTTCGAGCATCGTCATCACGGAGGATACTCTAAACGCGAGGATTTGTCATTTCGGAACCTCGGAATTGTGCGGTGAAATTGTCGCCGCCGAAACACCTTCCAGTTCCAATTCCTCGAAATTGAAGGAGCTGCAGAGATCCGGTAGCCGGACGGTGAGACTGGAAGGGACGAGAGGGTATATGGCGCCGGAATATCTGGCAACGGGGATCGCGACGCAGAAATCGGATGTGTACGCTTTTGGGGTCGTGGTTTTGGAGCTCCTCAGTGGGCAAGAGGCGTTGAAGTACGAATTCGATGACGACGGTGGGTATAGAAGGATGAGTGTGGTGGAGACGGCGAGGTTAGCTATGGCGGAAGAAGGTGGCGCGAGGAAATGGGTGGACAAGCGGCTGAAGGATTCGTTTCTGGTGGAAGCAGCAGCAGAGATGATTCGGGTCGGGTTAGATTGCGTGGAAGAAGATCCGAGTGAGAGGCCGGATATGGGTCGGGTTGCAGTATTGATATCGAAACTGTACTTGGATTCGAAGAGGTGGGCCGAGAGTATGGGAACGGCTATTGACCTGACTGTCTCATTAGCACCTCGGTGACTCCTCTGATTTTCGCGACGAGATTTTTCGTGTTGGAGTTTTTCTTTTCCTTTTTTTTTAATTTTTTTAATTTCTTAAAAAAAAAATTACATTTTGTTTTTCTTGAAACTGTCAGCATTCAAAGAGTGACGAATATTATACGTTGTATATAATGAAAGAAAATCATCATTTTCAGAGAAGGAACTACGAAGGCTTGCAGAAATGAAAGAATATATTTGGCCAAACAAAAAAAAAAAAACAGAATATAATGGCGTGTAAGTTGTAACAATTATGGTTAGCAATTATGTTATTTTCAAGTGCGAATTCATTGAAAAAGAGCGAGCACGGTGTGTGTAAAGAATAGACCAAAATATATTCGAGTGTCTTTGTTACTATATTTATACAAGAAAGGCTAAAAAGAGTGACTTTTTAATGTGTGTTTGAAGTGAAAGTTTGGAAATTAATTTTGGTTATAATCGAGTTATTATAATGTAATTTGTTTTTTTGAACATTTTTACTTTAAAGATAATTTTAACAAATGACATTTGTTTGGAAGTTTTTAATAATAGGCACTCTTGGATAGTTCTTCCACCATAAATTATAAAGACAAAGCGAGAATGATGAGAGAGCAAATACTAGTCAATTTAATATTACAATTGGCGAGTCACTGATTATAGATAGATATTCTTTAAGTAGTTCCAATTTTATTTATAAATCATAATTAAGTACTTTAAAATTTATTAATTCTATTTTAAGATTTAATAAATTTTTATCTTTATTTCTATTAAATATACATATTTTTCCTCATAAATATTTAATAGAAGGTAAAAAAAATTATGATAAAAACATAATAATATGACTTATAAATAAGATTAAAACTTATTCTCTCTTCCCATTATAAATAGGATCACAAGAGTGATTACAAATTTACAATATGAACCCCCACAAAGGGGTCATTCTTAGATGATAAAGTACTGTCCAAATAATTAAGAATCCTAAACTAATTGTGAAAGGCAAAATTATGGTACCTTGTTGCATGATCCTTGAAGTGTGGTGTTACTGGGACTTCTTTTGGAAAGTGACCATGCAGAAATATGCCAAAACTCGACTAATTATGCCTATACAGATGAGGATTACTACGCACAAGTTCCAATCATGGAGATTATAGCCACTTTCCTTGAGTGATCCGCATCGAGTTATCAGCCATACTCCATGATACCTGAAGCATGTAAACATAATAAGCAATATCTACACTATCTGTTAAAAAAAGTTGACTTAGATGCGAATCATGCAATCTCTTGAAAAGTTTATTATTTGATTATTGAAAAAACGATGGCTTAACTCAACAGTTTTCACCTAAGGTTCTAATATGACCGGTTTATTTTTCAATAGCCAAATGTGTGAGTGGATTTGGATCTGAAATTGATGAAGTTTAACGCTAACTACTAATACTTTACATTACTTTATATATATATATATATATATGTAAGACAAAATTTATATATAATTCCTTGTTTTCTCATTTCAATTATTAATATTTTGCATTATGCAGGTCTTTAATTTCTCCAAGCATCTCACAAGAGACGAGTAATTTTATGAATCATCTCTAAAAGAAAAATACCTCTCAGCATTTGCAATAACAAATGCTTGCAAAGCCCACTTGGAATAGCAGACATTAGCGATACGCTTCAGAAATTCACTATCTTTTTGTTTTGTGGCAATAAGCGTCAAAACAACTGGAAGAAGTACTGACCACTGCAAGAAAGAGTTGCATCTTACATGTTAAAGGGGAGATGAAAGTAAAATGATAAGTCAAATAGCCGGGGAATTGATAATCTGTGTCAAGAATTTGTTATTATGCAGACCTGGTTTCCAAAATTATTTGATAAGCAAAAGCAATCTTTGATCGATATGAAAGTATGTCATTATATATATATATATATATATATCTTGAGCAAAGTGTATCATTATGTTCTTCATGGGAGTGATTTCTGGTATATTTGCTATGATTGATTTGGTCTCTTAAGTTTTTTGTCGACCAAATGTATTTAAGAAATTTTCAACTGTGGACAGCTTCTGATACTTACAAGCTGGGCAGTACCAGGTTCAAAGAACATGGCCAATGCATAAGCTATGCCAGTCACACAGTATACAAGACAGAGAAGCACGATGTAGTTATCTGCAAAAGACGATCTTGGGTTGGTGAGAAAATAGAACATGGAGAGGTAAACCAGAGGCTTGATCACTGTATTAAATTGATCAGTTGTGTCCTTGGAGAGAAAATAGGCCAAGCTGCTCATGCCGGAATCTCTCTCCCTCCAGTAGTGTATTTTATCCAGAGAAAATGATCTCAAGGCTGCTATTTTGCATAGAAGAGCTGAAATTAACAATAACAAATGAGAATAAACCACTAATGACATGAACGTACAACGTAAGTAGAGTAGATTAATTAGTTTAGAGCAATAGTAATTTTTTTTTTTTGGGATAATGCAATATAGTAATATATATATTGATTTACTGATTCCAACGAACTTCAATTACGGTCAAAGGTGTTTTGGCCGAATAAAAAGAATATGATTACGGGTCATATTTTCTTTTTAGTAAGCCAATTGATGTGGCTATAGACACCCAAGTTACTTGTGCAATCCAGTAGTATATTCATCAGATTGAAGATCAATTTTATGATTTATATAATTTATAATTTATATTAGATATTACTGCTATCTACTGTTTTTAAAAAAGGATAAACATAAGTTTCAATAAAAAAAACAACCGGATTGTCTATTGTTTTTTTTTTCTTTCTGAGTAGTTTATGATGTATAAATTTAATTTCAATGTTTTAAATTCAAGGGTATAACAGAAAAAATCAAGCGTACATAATAGAAACATTTTAAATGTTTCTTTGTTTGATTAACTTTTTAGTATTTTTATGTTTATATTTTCTTGTCATCTTATTCATGCCAAATAATTTTTTTTTTCAAAGCTATTTCAAAGCTATTTCAAATTGAGTATTATTGAAAAAAGATCATTTAGAATATTAATCATAACCAAGGAATTTAATCTCAAACATTGCTCAGTAATACGTTTGTCGTGAAAAATTTAATCATAAATGAGAAATTTTGTATCCGACCGTACACTGAAATATTACTACTAAAGGGTATATATAATGAATATCTTAGGTTGGTGGTATATTTTTTCCACATATAATAACACTTGTTGCATGAATGATAACATGTTAATATGCAGAATAAATTCAACTAATATATACTAAAAGAAAATAGCATAAGGGTCTAATTCCCAGACCAAGAATATAAAACTAGATAAACTTACAGACGGCAATGACAGTGTATGTGTACCCAGCTACACCAAACGCTTGTTCACTTGTTTTTGTAAGCAAACCTAAGCAAGCTCCAGCAAGCAATAAAATCAGGTAATCCATAGCTTGAATACTAGCTTCCCGCAGTCTCTGCTTACCGACCCTGAAATAATATCGAGGCTGGGAGATGTAATTTACTGGCAACTAACAAAAGAAAATATACTTTGGTCACAACTTAATAAAGAGCACGGGCACCAAACTGAACAGGCATATAGTTATCAAATTATACATAGCCCTTCTGAGGGCTTTTGAGATATGAATCTTTTTCAACTCTTAATGATGAGAGAGCGATGGACATAATGATATGGTAGGCCTCACCAGTAAGATGGAACCTATCATAGTGTCTATCTCTCTCTAATTAAATAGTCTTGTTGATTAAATAGTCATACTTGTCTGATTAAATAGTCTTACTGATACTAATAATTTTTTTTTTGGGCACAATGATGCTGTGAAAATATTAGATACTTATTGTAAATATTATTATTGTTATAAATATTCTTATGCTTTATTAGTCTTCATTACTAATTATTAGTCATTATTATTATTAGTGTATAAGTACCACCTGGTTGTATTTTAATAATCTACATCAATGAGAAATATTTTCACTCAAATTCTACATGGTATCAGAGCCTATGCATCTAAGGTCTCTGGTTGAGGGCATCTAGTGTTTTCTGGGTATGTCTCATTAGATGTGGCCTTTGGAGTGTCCTCTGGCCGCTGCTGTTCATGGTGGTAAAGGATGTTTTGGATCTTACCGTTGCCTAGGGAGGTGCCCAAGGCTTCGATAAGTGCAACCCTGGAGTTCGATAGTGGCCAATGGTGTGTGGCACTCCCACACACCAACTGAAGATTCTACTCTAAAGAGTGCTAGGTGGCGCGTGGGAGCACGGGGAGGACTAAGGTGGCTGACGATGCCTTCCTCTATTGCCGCCATGACATTTCCAGTCCAATTCCAATGTGCCCCAGGTCTAGGCAACTTGTTTTTCATATTTATCTTCTTCTGTCTATGTGATTGCTCTCTGTTTATAAGGATGTGTGTGTCCTTTTCCTCTACTATGCAAAAATTATTATATTTATCAGAGTAATCTTGTGGGTACTCTCTAATATCAAAATTACCCAATCCAAGTCTCTACACATAGCAACAGTGGCTAAACAGGGGACTTTCTTAGGCTCTAACAATGTCATGAAATAAAAACAGTGTGGATCATTAACTCTGGAGCCTTCGATCATGTGTCTAATTGTTTATGAGTTGTTTACCACTTACACCCCGGTGCTAGGAGTATTAAAGTCAAGATTGTTGATGGCTCATTAGCACCTATAACAGGGAAAAGGGAGTA